GATGGAGGTGAGGGGACGAGAGAGGGAGATGGGTTGGGATGCCGGGGAGCTTTTTGTCATCCTCCTTTTCCCCCTTCCCAGGGCAAGGGCCCGGCCCCACTCCTGTCCCTCTTCTTCTACGTGGCCACAGACAGGCAGGGGACGCTGCGGCCAGTGCTGGAGAACGGAACACGGCTGGCAGCCGTGGCAGGGACAGCGGAGGAGCTCGGGGACTTCACCCTCACCTTCCTGCCCCCCACCGGGGAGGGTGGGGAGGGGCACAAATATGCCAGGTGAGTGGGCTGCAGCCCCCAAACTGTCTGTGTCTCCTCCATCCTCACCATGCCCCCTCCATGTCCCCACTTTGTCCCCCACCCCTGACTTCCGTCTCTCCCCCAGTTACAACTTCCTGGCCGCGGGGGTGCCGGGGCTGCACCGTCTCACCGACCTCGTCCGGCAGAGCCTCCGCGAGAGCTCCGTGTTCTCCCCACCGGGCCGACCCCGCCGCCGGTTTTTCGGGGTGTCCAGCACTGGGGGCTTGCCTGGGGAGCCCCTGCGGGGGCAGCTGCTGCTGCACCAGGTGACGCTGGAGCCGCCGGCGGTGCTGGAGGTGACGCTGGAGTCGGGCAGCGCGGCAGGGGCGCGGCGCGGGCGGCTGGCGGGGCCGGCGCTGAGCGCGGCGCTGGCCCGGCACACGGCCACCTTTGAGCGACGCTTCGAGGACACCTTCGGGCTGGGGGCACGCGGGGTGTCCCTCCCGCAGCGCCGCTTCGCCCAGGCGGCGCTCAGCGAGATGCTGGGCGGCATCGGCTTCTTCCACGGCCGCTCCCTGCTGCGCTCGGAGCGCCGGGAAGAGCCGGTGCCCGGCGCCGAATCCGCGCTGTTCACGGCCGTGCCCTCGCGCTCCTGCTTCCCGCGTGGCTTCCTGTGGGACGAGGGCTTCCACCTGCTGCTGCTGGGCCGCTGGGACCCCGCGCTGGCTCGCGACATCCTCGCTCACTGGCTCGACCTCCTCAATGCCGACGGCTGGATCCCGCGGGAGCAGATCCTGGGGGACGAGTCACGGGCCCGAGTGCCCCCCGAGTTCGTGCTGCAGCACAGCGAGACGGCGAACCCCCCGACGCTGCTGCTGGCGCTGGAGCGGCTGCTGCCCGACGCGCCCCTGCCCTACCTGCGCCGCCTCTTCCCGCG